AAATCGGTTCAGTAGTTTTCGCGGTTAGCGATTACAACGGTTTTAGTGCTTCTGCTTTATATATTAGTAAGATAAGAAGATGGGAGATCACATTTTTTTTTTTTTTTTCTTAATAAGGTAGGTAGAGCCATTTGAAATAAAATTATCATAGGCCTACAGTCAGCAGAGCTACTGTGAATATGAAAAATAACAAGTTAAGACTTCACAGCGCTGGCATATAAACTCTTATTTAAGATATCAATTCAGCGACTCAAAACATACGGGAAACAACTCGTTTTTTGGGGCTATATACTATTTAATGATGTATACTTGGATGTTGGTAAAATAACTGGTAAGATTGTGTAGGATGACGAAAAAAACTGTATAATTTTTTCATGTTTTAAACAATTCAAATTATGTGCAAACAAGAGTAAAAATATATGAGCTCTAATTTTTAGTTCGTAATACGTGGAGCTTAATTACATCACGGGAGCTTATTCATCAATTTCAGTTGGCTTTTAAAAGCTTCGATGTCTGTTATATAATCATCCAAAGGGTGTTGTTCCTCTCCATCTTCGATGGGGATAAATTTGAGAGAATACTTCTCCTTTTCCTTACCTTCATTGTCACCAGTATCTAAAATAGTAAAAAAGCAGAGTTAATTATTTTTTCAGGAAAATTCATAAAAATTAATATTCTAACATTCAAATATATTTACACATTTTTCTGTCATCAGTGGATGGGTTGGCAGTTCCCACTACGTGAACACTCAATTTTCTGAAATTTTTCCCTTCCAATAAGTGATCCTTGAACCACTGAATCAATTTGCTTAGCTTAATAGATTCTATTACAACGATTTCCTTTCCATTTCTATCAAAAATGTACTTGTTTTTTGTTATTTCTGACCAATTTCTAGTAACCTCCTCTTCGAGATTAACATCCACGCACATTTTGGTCTCAATGAGAGACTTTTTAATACAATCAAATTTTTCTTGAGACATACTTTCTACAAATTTAATCATACTCTCAATAAAGTGTTCAATGCAAAAATTTACAAAATCAGTAGAAAACTTGTTGGCTTGAGTGCAAACAGATATTGAAAATTCAAGAGTATCGTACGTCTCTCTTATATCACACCAAACATCGTAGCCCAACTGCATGTGGGTTCTAAGAAAATCAAATGCGGGTTCTTTCATCACCAGCTGATTGAACACAAACATTGATGGTAATTAATATTTATCATTATTTTCAGTTTTAATGCTCGAGAAATACTTTCGAAAAGATGCTAAGTATATGTACAACAGACTCACCATTAAAAGTTGAATCATAACAGATAAATGGATAGAATCGAGTCCAAATTGATATAAATTGGTCACAACAGAGTTGACATCGTTGGGTAGGAAACTTTTGACTTTGCAATACTTTTCCCCAATCGGTATCTCGTAAGCTAATATTTGTGGGTATGCACTGGAATCTAATTTGCTGAATTTCAATAGTTCGGTACACTCAAACACACATTTCAACAAATTCTCTCGGGTCATGTTTCCTTGGGCGAGACACTGAATGTACAAGTTATCCATCAGATGCTCAGCGAATTGGAGATACTGATGAAAGTCTATGTCGCAAAGGGCAGTATGTTTCTCAATTGCTGTTGAATAACCTTTAGTTATGATAGATAATCGTACATCCCTGAAATACGGTTTCACAATTTTTAATCGCCAAGTTTTTTTGTAAAAACAGTTTAATACTGCACGCTAACACTTACATTAAAAAAATTTAATTTTTGAAATGAGCCCAGTTTAACGTAAATATTTAAAAAACTGATACTTACCGACAAAGTTTATTTGGTTTTATAAAGGTGTTGAATTTTTCTTTACACTGCTCTCTTTTCATAACATTAAATAAATCCTCTGTGGTTAGATCATGACAGGTGACAATATTTTGAAATATTTTTTTTAACAAAAGCTGCGAAAACAAATAATTATTTAGAATAACAAAAGTAATTTGAGAGTAAAAAATTAATAGACTAATTACTAACAGGTAATTTTTGATTGAACCCGTATACTTTGATGACAATACCCTTCTCATGTGAAACAATTTCATAACTCAATTCAGCAGCTGATGCAGGGTATAATGACGGTACAACTAAGTATTTCAATACAGACAAATATATGTCCAACATGGCAGAGCTGATAAAAAAAAATTGTATAGAAAAATAATGTAAATATAAATAATAAAAATATTTTCTCAAAGAATTTTAAACAAAATGAATATTATGACTTACGATTTCGGAGATTCTGTTGCATAAGGAGTTTGCAAAAGCAAGTAAATGTAACATTCCGGGAGACGGAACTTGGGGTCCATTCTGTACCAAATTTCTGTTTTTTCGTCATGATAGATTTTCGTTGGGTAACTTGGTACATCGGCGGGCAAATCTATCAAAGTGAAATCATCCGTGATAAACTCGTTGGGTTCAGGCAAATGAAATTCTTCAAAAGGTTCAATTTCTTTCCAACGAGAGACCCATTCCTTGGGTATATCTTCACTAGAATACTTTGTCTGGAACCACGGTTCCACTTGGTCAAAGTCTTCCTCATTAAATTTCCGATCAAAAAGTATAATATTGACTTTTTCTGGGCTCAAGTCTTCCATACATTGTTTTATAGATTCCGGATCATAGAGAGAATATAAATTTTCTCCTGTCAAAAAGTCTTTCGATGGGTACAAATGCATATTTACACACAAACTTTCAACATACTCTGCAGGATCTTGTTCATCTTGGAATCTAAAAATATTTTTCTAGCTATACTGTATAGTAATTATTTTGAAAAACACGTCTCAAATGAATTGAGCAATTGTAACATTACATAGATGCAAAAACCAAACTCTTCAATTACCTAAAATTTATTTCTTCGACTCGTTGAATTTCATCAAATACTCTTTTACTAGGTCCAACTCGACGTAAAAAATTTATATAAGAAAACAAAGCGTCTAATACTTCTCTCAAATGCTTACAACCATCATCAGTTAGTATCAAAGTTGTACCAAATAGAGCATACATAGAGTTGTGTTCAAAATCTCCTTCACTGTTGCCACTAAAAATGTCTAAACACCACAATTTCTTGCGAAGGTAATTTATTAGGGAACCCTCTCCTTCATGTCCAATAAGCCACGAAACAACTTGATGGGGTTTACTTTTGTACAAATGATGTAGCGGGGGCATAACCCATGTGAGTTCAACCTTAAAAATAGTCGTCAATAGGAAATTGGTATCATTTTTATCACAAAATCTCTCTCAAATTAACTTTTATTTATTATTACACACTTGGCAAGTCTCTGTGATCGGTTTAACTTTGTACAATTTGCAAAAATTTGGATTATTAAAAGAATCTTTGCCTTTGAATTCAGAAAAATCATCACACGACAGATGGTTAACAGGCACACTAGAAAAGCAGTCGATGACATATTTCTCCAACTCATCCAATGATAGTCTAGCCTGTAGAATTAAACATAATAAAGAATATAAAATTGGGAGCAAGAACGTCATTTGTATGATTCATAGAACAACAGAAAACAAACTTGAACAGCCAGAGTCATTCGATGAGCACTGTAATGCCTGTCTTTGAACTTATGCAATTCTGAATACAATGTTTCTTCTTCTATATTATCTTTTAGCGTTATTAAATTACCCCACGAAAATTTTGTGGCAGGATGATTAGTTTTTGCACAGCTGCAAAACAATTGCTCTTTTCTGTAGAAATCTGATGGTAAGGCCATCTTGAATTCTAAAAAACATACAAAAATCGTTGTTCAAGTACTTTATCTCAACTCAAATCTACTAATATTGATAAGTGTAAAATACCAACCGCTCTCTATAGCTTCTCTTTCTCTAGTGATGGCACTTCTTTTCATCAGAGGATTTATAAAAAATTGGGCGAAACGGTCCATGGCAGGTAGTAAATGTTTTTCTTGTATCTCAAAGTAAAATGTTGTGTGCTCACAGTCAGTGGAGGCATTGTCACTACCACCTTTCTTTTTTATAAACTCGTCAAAGTCGTTTTCCTAAAACAAAGATCGTTATCAATGAAATATTCACAGTGTGAATTTACATATACACCAGAAATAATTACCTGAGGATACTTTTCAGAACCCATAAACACCATGTGCTCAAGAAAATGAGCCATACCTTGAATTTTGAGTGGATCACTAAAACTTCCAACGTTTATGGACAAGGCACATGCTGCCTAAAAATTTTCAACAAGTATTGTTACTTGAAACAAGATACATGTTATGTGGTACTTGTAAGACAACAAAATAATACCAATTTTTTTTCTTTTTTGTAAGATTTACTAGTAGGCTTTTCATCTCCATCTTCACAATCATTGGCCTTATTCTCTCCATCATATTCTTCCTCCTCTTCTCCACCTTCACTCCCATCATCCTGTGAGCCATCATCACCGTCTTCCTCTTCACTTTCGCTTTCCGAATCACCAGCTTTGATATAAAACTGTGTTAATAACTACAAATGAAACTGTATGAATAAAAAATAAGTCTCAAAATTTACCTGAATCTCCAATACAATGAAGATCAGAAACTAATAATGCTGTCAATCCATTTGGCAGTCTAATAGCTCTGAAAAATCACACATACCAATGCTGAGTATTTACTTTAAATCAGGTGCCAAGCAACATGCATTACATGTTCAGATTTTTTTTTTGATTCTTGACAAATAAATATTTTAGCTGTGGATGGCTCTAAAATATACACTTACCTGTAATCTTTTTTATCACTCTCTGATTTGTCAGGAGCTTCAAGTTGTATTTTAACATCAAATGTTTTTTTGTCATTGTTAGTTGTTGGTTCACTAGCACTACTGACTGACTTGGCAGATTCTTCTGCAGAATGAGCTTTGGCTTTCGGCATTTTCGAGAAAAAAATTCTTATGTATCAGAGACTTTTGATTTTGAATTAGTAAACTAGTGAAAAATCGCTTGAACATTCCTATGCAAGAGTACAATCAATTTACCATTATCTGGTTTTCTCTCTACTGTTTCACTATCTCATGTCAATCAAATTTCAATATGCTACAGATAATTTACTATGGTTTTCTACAACTAAAATGATTTCATTTACATTCTATGATTGCATAAATGAAATTTGTAATCATTAGTTACTTACCCACGTGCTGGAGGTTATTATCATAAACTTTGACAGAAATATGTTTAAAAATGTGAATAGTGTATCTTTCTGAGTTATCCTGAAAATTTTCACGTATCCTATAATTCATGTGAAATTATTAAAAACAATAAAATATCGATTACACACAGCTATTTGCTGGAAAACACTTGACTGTTGCAATACTCAAAAACTCGAGACACTTACTTTAAACTTTACAAAAACCATCCAACTATTATTATTAACCACGTAAAATTTTTAATTTGTTCGGTACAAACAATATAAATAAGTATATATATTTTAATAACACTCAACACACTTCCATCAGACGACACGCATGCTGTCTGCTGCAAAAGTTGTGCAGCAGACCACATGCACGCTGATTGGTCAAGCTATATCGCGCGAGTGACAGGCGCGCAATTCAAAGTAGGTAGAACAAGCTGATGTTATTTTTCATGATAGGAGGTACTGCATACAACATTTATGATATATAACGGCTATTTAATACAGTTCACCTAAAAATATAATTCTCTAATGATCTTTGTACTTCTGACCGAGTTTATTAGTATCCACTTATCTGCATGCGAGTATTTGTTACAGCTAAAGTTATGCAAACAGACGAAATGTGTTTCTATTTTATTTTCCAATAAGAATACTCTATGACTTTCACTCTAGGATTCATTCACGTGCACGTCTGTAGACACCTGTTTTATATTTTTTCTCGCATGAGAAATGAGGTGATCTTTTTAAAAAAAAGAACCAAGTAGTCTTAGCACACGGTAAAACTGTGAATCAAGTTACGTGTTTTCGTCTCAAATTACCATGTATTTTTTTTAATAAACCACGTGGTCTTTCGAATGTGGAGTTGATATTTGACAGAACGTCCGGGTGATATTCAATAACCAATTTGAGAAAAAATTACGTCGTGGTTTGTCTCATGGTTTTAATAGTGAAAATTCGAGCAAAAACGACCATTACGAGGGAAATGAGTATGGCAGTGGAGAGTCGTGAGGGATTCCTCGAGACTACATCGTGTCGTAGAGGAACAACATGCATGTATCGAACGTAACGGAGCAAACATACAAATTCTCTCCTATTTTTGGAGGAAGGGACCGTAAGCAGCCACATATAGGTACAAATTGCTGTATTTGTAATATTAGTAGATATTCATTTATGATGTTAAAAATTAGATTATACACAGTGATTATGAGTAATATAACGCCTAATTTTACATAATTATACAATTAAAATTAATTTAAATAATGAGTCTTAAGTGAAATAGAGTGGCTTGATATTTAAAAAGAAAAAATAGGACTACAACGAAAAAAAAAAACTTCGAAATGGTCAAGTTGGTGATACCATGCCAGTAGGCCTATATAAAGGTGAATTAATGTCTTTATTGCGTAATTTAATTTTGTTTTACATTACATTTCTGGATTTAAATCAGAAAGTTGCTATAAAAAAAATAAATAAATAAAAATCGAGTATATACACCGAAATAATTTTTCTTAGTAAATATTCAAGGTAATTTCCACTTACGATACAGTTCAGGGATAAAAAGATATTCTGACAGCATTACCTGCGAATTTTACACAAATATCAATACATTTTCAACTGCTGGAGGAGTCGAATCGCCGACATTGCTCAACATATATGGGTGCTATTCTAAACTTATGCACCTGGCGAATAAATATGCATTACACACTGGCTTAGCAGCTCTACGATAAGCAAACTTAATCCACAAAAAAAAATTATTTTTATCTGGTTGAATAAACTAGTTACTTCCTATTTACTTTGAATCACTAAATCCAAATATATATTACTAGCAGCCCCCCGTCTTGGCTTCGCCCGAGACTTAATAAATAAAACACCGTAGTGTGTTGACATGTAATGTGAAACATTTTCAGTTAGAAATTTTACACATATTCCTGATACATCTCAGAACAAAAATCTTCTTATTAAAAACATATTTTTTCGGAATCCATATAGTTTATTTGGTTAAATAATGAGGTGTAAAAATTCAAAAAAATTATTATGCTGAAAAGTACCGTGCGTTCTTTATGCCATAAAANTGACAAAAAAAAATAACTTTTTAATCATGCTTTTATTTTTACAAAATTTCATTGAGTTATTTTCAATTAAACTGTAACTATGCTCGTGACATTTCATCGATACATGAACGATAATTTAGATACGGATAGTGTAGTACCATATCTTGAAAGTTTACTTATAAATATGAGTAATCATCAGAAAGAAAGAGCATTTATGCGAAGATTTCGTAGTTATGTGAATAATTTATTTACTATAGATATTTCTGTATGATTGGTAGCATTTTAAAATTGTAGAGTATTTCTTCACTGTTCTACGAGGTATTTTAATACAGGTCTGAATAATGAAGATGTTCCGAGCATTATGCTCATTATCAAATAAGTTCAAAAAGCAATTTCACACAGAAAAACAATGAATAATTTACAGTTTAAAAAAGTAATATCATTTAGTTCATTTTCAATGATAAAAGCAATTGAAATTGGTGCAGTTTTACATTTACTGATAGTGATATGTCTATTCCTCAAGTTTTTAAAAATCTTTTTATCATAGAATTCAATTAGATTTTCTGCTTATTAAAAATTTTCGGAGTCTCAAAGTTTTCGGATGATTTTAAAGTTATAAAATTTGTGTATTAATGATTGATTTAGTAAATTAATGATAAAATAAATTCTATAAATTGTGTATGTCTAAATATAAAAATACTGAGGTAGTGTCACGACAGATGAAAAATGATCTAGCCTTATGATGAAGGCTAATAAGTTGATGTTAGCATTATCATACATATGTACCTACAAAAACTGTAAAAATACATAGAAGCAACTTTTGATCATTAAGTCTATTATTCTCGTTGTATATTGAAAAATTTATTTTATTTTTACTGTTTTTGCTGGTGCTCTTCCTAATATGTAATAAGACTGCAGCCATTATCGCATGAATAATATAAACCTTGCTTGTAAAACATCCACTGATACAGTAGGTAATTTTTACACTTTTTTCAAACTACATCTTAAACATTGACTAACTTTTGTTACGTTTACAGCTGGAAAATTTTGATTCTTGTTTTTAAAAAAATATCAACAGGTTTTGAAGTATAGAATAGATGTTCCTTAAATTATAGTTGGTTGTAGTTTCTCAATGACAGGTCTGACGCTTTGGACACCTTAAAGTTAATTTTTCATCACAGACAATCAACAACAGCTGATTATTAAGTAATTTTTATTATTTTGTATAAATCTTAATAGGAATAAATTCTTTCTATGAGTAACCAAACATTACAAATATAATTTTTTTTTTTTTTAAGTTAACATATCTAACTAATCTATGTGATAAAAGTTTATGTATATGAAACTTATAGTACGAACAGAAATTATATTCTTTAAGAAGTATGTGATGTCTCTCTGATAACATTTCTTTATGGTGACACAATAAAAATCGTACACGATTTCTCAGTACTTAAATTACTTTCAGAAATTACATTTGGTCATAAGCATTAAATATGAGCTCATCGAATGATGAGTCTGCTTATAATTCAGCTATTATTACCAAATATATTACTTTAAATGACCTCCTTAGTCCAATGGAATATTTTTAAAAAATTATGCGTTTAACGTTTTACCTGTATATGTAAAATATAAAAACTAGGTAGAATTAAACACATTTTTTCGGATATTTTCGGACGCTTTCCGTTTTTTTAAATGTTAGAATTCCACTGTAGACGAATGTGTACGATATAAGAAAAAGTAATTTTATATGATGGTTCAGTTTTACATTTAATATTTTTCTTGTAGACATTAAAAAAAAAAAAATTCGAAACTATATAATATTTTCTGCTTTTAAAAAACGTTAGAGCAACACTAGAAAAAACTTATCGCATTAGAAAGTAGCAACTTATCCATGTGTTAGTCATGCCTATAAATGAATAATTAAAATACTAGTCTAAAGAGGACCACTAAGTAAAAATAGAAAAATATAAAAAAACACTGCAACATTTGAGTGACGTTTTTTGGGCCACTAAGCATGAAAATCGTATCGATCTATCACTAATTGGTTTTAAAATATAAAAACGAATCTTTGATAGACGGTGCTATCACTCTATCATAAAACGCTAAAAATAAAAATAAGTAAAAAATTTCAAAGCCTCTTAAAAATTACTCAATACCAGCCATATTGGTTTTCTGTATTGTATTTTTTTGTTCTTTATTGTTAATAATCCTTAATAATCCTATTGTTAGTACTATACCTCACAAACTAACCTTTAAAAAAAACAGACGTGGCAATTGGAATTTTTCGTTAACTTATTACACTATCGTATTGCCTCCTCCGATTTCCCTTGGCTTATGTGCTTGTCACTTGTGTGTTTGTCTTAATTTCTTTCTCTCTCTCTCTCTATCTCTATTTCTTTTCTTTTTTTTTCTTCCCTACTACTAACAAGCCTATAGATTTGGCGCTAGTGTCCACTAATACACGTATTCTAAATGCAACCAGGGTTTCAAAGTTCCAATTTTCACCGGCTTGCACATGCACGGAGCGAATAGGAAGAGTTTGTATACAAACTGTTTTAACTTTTCTTAACATTTGTATAGTCACTTACACTGATATGAATAGTTCCGAAATTATCATGTAATAATAATTTATTTATTCAAACTATAAGTTCTATAATCAACTNCTTTGAGCTCATTTATTGCTATTGTTATTAAATTTTTTAAGATAAAAACTATACTAAAACCATCTAGGAAGTATCATGAATCAGTGTGCAAAATTTCAACGAAATCGGTTCAGTAGTTTTCGCGGTTAGCGATTACAACGGTTTTAGTGCTTCTGCTTTATATATTAGTAAGATAAGAAGATGGGAGATCACATTTTTTTTTTTTTTTTCTTAATAAGGTAGGTAGAGCCATTTGAAATAAAATTATCATAGGCCTACAGTCAGCAGAGCTACTGTGAATATGAAAAATAACAAGTTAAGACTTCACAGCGCTGGCATATAAACTCTTATTTAAGATATCAATTCAGCGACTCAAAACATACGGGAAACAACTCGTTTTTTGGGGCTATATACTATTTAATGATGTATACTTGGATGTTGGTAAAATAACTGGTAAGATTGTGTAGGATGACGAAAAAAACTGTATAATTTTTTCATGTTTTAAACAATTCAAATTATGTGCAAACAAGAGTAAAAATATATGAGCTCTAATTTTTAGTTCGTAATACGTGGAGCTTAATTACATCACGGGAGCTTATTCATCAATTTCAGTTGGCTTTTAAAAGCTTCGATGTCT